TTTTTCACAAATCCAACATTCAAGCTATGTACATTCCATGTTCCAATTATTAAAGTATGTTTGTCATTATTTACCTCATTTTGACTGACTTCAAATCTGGGATCCACCACTAATTATATAACTATCTGCATTCCTCTACTGTTCATAGGGTTTTCAGAAGCCTGCTATTTAAGAAGCAGATGGCCAATCCTACTTCCTAATCTGTTTTAACCTGAGAGCCCTGTGGCATTTGACACACTGGTGTCTAGTTTTCATTCTCACAGCAACCCACAAGTTAACTCAGTACAGCAAACTAAAGACAAGTTGTGTATCAGTCAGAAAAATGTTCTCTTCAAACACAACAAACTGACAATTTATACCTATCATAGTAAATCATTCTTCACACCAGGCTTGAGGGCCCAAACAATTTTAATCACAAAGGGCCACCCACTAGGTCTGAATTGATTTAAACAAGAGACTTCCACACCACAACTGATTGTTAGTTAAATTTTAAAAAGTCCAAAAGTCCACAACTGATTGGTAACCAAGTAAAAAAGACATATCTTTCAGATTCCAACTGTTTCCAACAAGAGACTCTCAAGCAGGCTTCAACTAACTTTCAATAACAGACTCACCAACCAGGTCCTGATTGGTTTAAACAAGAGGCTCTGAGCCCACAACTGATTGTTAGTTAAATAAAAAAGAACAATCAATATGCATTAATGTCATTGGAATGCAAAACTTTGAAACAATGAAGAAGTTTGTATTTGGAAAGTATGGGCTTAGTTATAGAAATGAGGCTGGAAATAGAATGATTGAATTTTGTGTTTTCAATGATTTATTCAATACAAATTTGTTTGTTGTTGTTGTTGTTGTTATGTCCCGTGAGTCTTGAGTCGCTTGTGACTCATAACGACCCCATACACAACAGCTCCAAACTCTGCTCTGTCCTGTGCCAATCTCACTGTCTCTGACACACTCATCCCGATTGCCCCAGTCATTGAATCAATCCACCTCCCAGAGGGCCTTCCCCTCCTGCTCCTGCCCTCCACCCTCCCCAGCATGATGTCCTTCTCCAAGGACTGGTCCCTCCTTACAACATGACCAAAGTATGTCAGACAGAGCCTCAGAATACTTGCCTCCAAAGAGCAGCCCAGTTTAACCCTCTCCAGGATGAATCTTTTTGTTTTCGTAGCAGTCCATGGTAACCTCAGCACTCGTCTCCAACACTTTAGCTCAAAAGCATCAATTCTCCTTCTATCCTCCGTGGTCATTGTCCAGCTCTCTGACAAATAACAAGTGATTGCAAAGGCCATGGCCTGGACCAGACGCACCTTAGTCTCCAGAGTCACACCGTTGCTCTTGAGTACTTTAGAGAGGTCCCTAACAGTAGACTTTACCATCACAATGTCTCTTTTAATATCCTGGCTGCTGGTGCCAAGAGTGTTGATTGTGGAGCCAAGCCAACTAAAGCTGTGAACAATATCAATCTCTTCACCATCTGTCCTGATGCTTTCAATTGTTCCAGTGGTGAGAATCTTTGTATTCTTGACATTGAGCCTCAATCCAGATTGAAGGCTGCAGCCCCTGACCCTCAGCAGCAAGTGCTTCAGGTCCTCCTCATTTTCAGCAAGCAGGGTTGTGTCATCTGCATAATGCAGATTGTTAATAGATTTTCCACCAATACTGATGCCACATTTCTCCTCACAGAGCCCAGCCTCCTGGATGATCTGTTCTGCATATTGGTTGAAAAGGTAGGAGACAGGACACATCCCTGGCATATACCGTTCCCAATTTTGAACCATGCAGTGTTTCCTTGCTCTGTTCTGATGACTGCTTCTTGGTTCAAGTATAAGTTTCGCATTAGCATGATCAAGTGTCAATACAAATACCCTTTCTAAAAAAATTCAAATGGAAAATTTACACAGGGACTTTACTGAATGGGATGCAAAGGAATCAGATTGAATATATCTGTGGAAGGATCTTCAGAGAAACTCAGTATTAGCAATCAAAACTAGGCCAAGGGCCGACTATTAGGCACAACATCAATTACTCATGTACAAATTCAAATTGAGGCTGAAGAAAATTAAAACAAGTCCACGAGAACCAAAATCTGATCTTGAATCCACTCCACCTGAATAGACAATCCTGGATAGGATCATGGCTGAAAGTCAAGAACACCAGATGGATGTTTATTTATGCATTATTGACTATGAAGGGGCATTTGATTGTGTGGATTATACCAAGTCATGGGTAACATTAAGAAGAATGGGAATCCTGGAGCACTTCATTCAAAATCTAGACCTAGACCTAGGTAGTAGTAAGAACAGGGCAAGAGAACACCACATGGATTAAATTAAGAATGAACTAGGTCAGAGTTGTATTCTCCCTTGGTACTCATTCAACCTGTATGTTGAGCAAATTATATAAGAAGCTGGACTCTATGAAAAAGAACGTGGCATCAAAATCAGAGGACGACTCATCAAAAATAACCTGTGTTATGCAGATGACGACACAACCTTGCTTGCTGAAAGTGAGGAGGACTTGAATTACTTGTTGCAGAAGAAGAACTTTCAGTATGGATTTAATATCAACATCAGGAAAACAAAATTCCTGATCACTTGTAATGCATCTGAGAGCTGGACAATGGATAAGGATGACAGAAGAAGAACTGATGCCTTTGAGCTGTGATGTTAGTGAAGAGTACTGAATAAACCATGGAGTGTCAAAAGAACAAACAAATATGTCATGGAGAAAGTGCAGCCAGAGTGCTTTTAGGGGGCAAAGATGATGAGGCTTCACCTCACATACTTTGAGCAGACTGCTAGTAGGGGTTATTCCTTGGAAAGGGACATGACATGATACTCAGAAAGGTAGAGGATCAGTGGAAGGAGAGGAATATCCTAAACCAGGTGGAATGACTCAGTAACTGCCACAATGACTCACTGCATCAGGAAGTGTGAAGATGAGACAGGATAGGACAGGGTTCGGATAGAGTCACTATGGGTCTTTCTCAATCAGACTGCACCTAACAACAACAACAACAACAACATATTTTGAGACATAGTTACTGTCACTCAATGATCTAAAATAGCTTATTTATCCATTAGAAAGAAATTAAAATACATGATACAATCCCAATGAAACAACTGACCCAACACTATTTAGCTCTAAGACTTCAGGCAGGGAGAAAAAAAAATTGTTGCTGTTTTTTGGACTTTACCAAGAAAATATATCTTAATATTGATTATTATAATTAATAGAGAAATAGAGGAAAGGTGATCTCTAAAGATGTGTATCTCTAAAAATCGGAAAAATTACATCCTTTACTTGCATAGGTAAATTGTAGGCAGTATTTATATCAGTTACGGTCCCAGGCCTTGATTAAGTTACCAAGTAGGTATATGATCACTGATGATTTTGCTAACTGAAGTTGACCTACAATGACTTAATAAAAAAATTAAAAATCAGGAAGAGCTAAAGTACATTTTAATGGGAGTATATGAAGATTTTTTTTATGGGGATTAAAGCAGAATTTTAAGGTGGAAACATTTTATAAAAGTCTTTTATTTAAGAAGGACAACAATTAAATACATTTTATATAAATTGGGAAGAATTTTCAGTGATAATGTTCAACTGCCAGACTGGTAAGAATCTCACTCTAGATTCTAGGTCCTAGAATAAGGATTGTGATTTCCTTTCTATGAAAAAAGTCTAAGCTGTGGGAGAGTGATAACACTGAAAGTACCTTCCCATTTACACTTTACAAAATTCCTGTGGCTCCACATAATGATTAAAGTTGGAGAGAAATTAAGGATTCCTTTGAGCCTTACGTGGGTTTCAGAGAAGTGAGAGAAGATGAGGGTGCATGATGAGGATAGAGGTTATAGAAGTAGCAAGAAATAGATTAAATGAATATATGGAAGGTAAAGTCACTTGAAAAGTAAGCCAAAGAAGTACAAGGCACTCAAAACAAGAGTCTATAGCTCTGTAATGGATTATTAAAAAAGGAAAATAAAACTATCAGCAAAATACAATAGGAATAACAAGAAAACCGAATAAAAATAATATATATTTTAAACAATATAATAAATAGGTAACAAAGATCTAAGTAATCAAGTTTTCAACATTTGATGTCAAAGATTCAATTCCATTAATTTTGATAGAAGTATTTAATTTTAAGTATGTTTACAGTGGCAGGCAATTTATCCAAACATTAAGATGCTGCACTGTATTTTTCTTAGGATAATCAGCATCTGACAATTTATTACTTGTAGGGAAATTTCAGACTTCACATTTACATGAAAATCACTTAATCAATTTCTCAGTAGGCTAGAGAAAAATGAGTGTTATTATAAAAAGGCTAACAGAGTGTGCATAATCAAATCTTTCTACAGCCATTCTGATGAAACTGCTCTGTGCAGAATCTCGCAATCAGGGAAGGAGAGAAACAAGGATGGAGAATGAAGGAAGAGAGGCATTTGTTCTAGGGTATGCAAACCATTAACAATACCAGGACACATGTTAAAGAGACAGAAACACAGTAAACTTTCTATTCTGCATTCATCAACGAAATCCTATTTGTAAGTTATTTATTTTTTTTTTAAAAAAACACGGTCTGATCCTTGACAGCAACAGTATTTTTTAAATAGAGAAACATTCCTACCCACATATTTTTTATGAAATCTAACAAGTAAAATTACAGTAGACAAAACAAGCAGCACTTTTAAAAATAATTTTGTATCCTTTTGGCTAGAGCAAGATATTTTTCCCTTAGCAGTCAGAGTCTAGAAAAGCTTAGTACTTCTGAGTCCTCTGATCTACTTCCAGGATACGGACTTTTACTCCACAACTCTGAAATTAGTGTATTTCCTCAGCTCACTAAAAACTATACCACCTTCCCTCATGACCATGACCCGAACCACCCATAAGCCCTTTACTTCTAGTATTTGTAGCACTAAAGAGTGACAAAAATATGCAGCAGGACAAAACACTGCATAAACAATTTCAAAGGTACTGACGTATATCTGATTGTTTCCAAAGCGCTTCTGAATTTCATAAAGCAGGCTGCTGTCATTGAGCTCACTGAGTGTTGCAAGGTCATCGTTTGGAGCAGGAGGCATTAACTTGACCTGGGGGAGAAAATGAGTATGATAAATTCTTTTTTAAAAAATTTTATTCTATACTGACTTACTTAACAAAGTTCTAATACATTGCTTTACACAAAAGATCCTGGCAACCCAATCAGCTGTTCTCCCTCACAGTTTTATGTTCCAATGCAACCACTTACCAAAAGTTTAAATATTACATGAGTCAGAAATGCTGTTATTAAAAATATTCGTTAACTTAAATAGGAAACTATCCCAAACTCCACAAAAAACTGCGTTCAACTTAGAATGTCCATCCTACACCCACAATCTCACACACACACACACACACACACACACACACACACACACACGCACACGCACCATGCCGGAGTACTTTATTCAATGTAAAGTTTACAAATTCATGTTAGCATGTTGAACAGTTCCTATTCTGCACATACGATTTTGCTAACTCTGCATTGTATTCAGGTCTTTGTAAGTGGGTAGATGAAAAGTTAATATATTTGTAGTGATTCTAAAACTAAAACAGAACTTCTCATATTAGTAGTGTTGACAGAGTAAGGGAACAACAGGGATTAATTTAGTTATTATACAGACATGGAATGAGATAAGATTTTGTTTAAAAAGGCTCTAGATTGTTGTCATGTTGTTGTGTGCAGTGAAGTAGAATCTAAACAGAGCTGACTCAACAGTGGGTTTTCAGAAACAGTAAATTTCATGAGAGGAAACTGTTACCTCCTTCTCTCACGGAGAAGCTGGTGGTTTCAAACTGGGTGCCTTTGGGAATGTATTTCAACTTCTTATCAGTAGTTAACTAGAGAACCAGAGTTCTCTTTAACTTGTAATTTTGACTCATGTTGTTGTCGTTATGTGCCGTCGAGTTGCCTGCAACTCATAGTGACCCTATGTACAACAGCCCTAAACTCTGCTCTGTCCTGTGCCAATCGCACTGTCTCTGACACTCCCATTCCGATTATCCCAGTCACTGAATCAATCCACCTCATAGAGGGTCTTCCCCTCCTGCACTGTCCCTCCACCCTACCAAGTATGATGTCCCTCTCCAAAGACCTGTCTCTCCTTACAACATGTCCAAAGTATATCAGACAAAGCCCCAGAATCCTTGCCTCCAAGGAGTAGCCTGGTTTAACCCTCTCCAGGACAGATCTGTTTGTTTTCTTGGCAGTACAGGGTACATTCAATACTCTTCTCCAGCACTACAGCTCAAAGGCATCAATTCTCCTTCTATCCTCCTTGGTCACTGTCCAACTCTCTGATGCATAACAAGCGATTGTGAAGACCATAGCCTGTATCAGATGTACCTTAGTCTCCAGAGAGACACCACTGCAACCCTATTTACAACAGCTCTGAAGCCTGCCCTGTCCGGAGCTACTCTCACTGACTCTGACACACCAACCCTTATTGCTTCAGTTACTGTATCAATCCATCTCGTCTGAGGTCTTTCTTTCCTGCACTGTTCCTCCACCCTTCCAAAATGATGTCCTTCTCCAAGAACTGGTTTCTCCTGGTCAGGAGCCCAAAGTATTTGAGACAGAGCTTCAAAATCTTAGCCTCCAAGGAGAAACTTAGTTTTACTCTTTAGTTTACATAGCTTTAGTTTGTTTTGTTTCATTAAAAACAAAACAGAATCACTCTCAAACAACAAACCAACAATAATAAAAATTCCAAAACCAACTTAGCCAAAATTCCAGACTCATTGTCATTGTATCTGAATCCATTGAATCTGAACCAACCCATAGCTGACCCTCCAGCAGGTTTTGAGAGGCTGCATATCTCATGGGAAAGGACTGCTCACCTTTCTCTCTCTGAGTAGCTGGTGCACTTGAACCATGTGCCTTTGCATTGGCAGCACAGCACCTTACCCACTGGGTAACTTTCAGAGGCAGCTCTGATGATATGGTTCTTAAAAAGTTTTGATGCTAACTCAAAGGCTGTGTGTCTCCAGAGGTTCAAAACCACCAGCAGCTCAGCAGAGCAAAGATGAGCGGTGTCCTCTCTTTGCAAATTCCAGCCTTGGAAATCAGCATCATGAGTTATCACCAACTCGATGGATGATTGACTTGTAAGATAATGAATTCTTAAAGACAAAAGGCTTTACTACTCAAACCAGTAGAATAATTTACTCCATATATAATAACTGTGATTGAAAGCTGTTAATATTTCAAATAGAAAAAAAATTCTGTATTATTAAATTAGATTAAAATGTAATCTTAAGAATAAATAGGAGCCATTTTAAAATTTTATATAGATAGGCTATCCTCTAAAATGATGCATTTGATATTTTGTAATGACAGTATTGAATTTTATGGTAAATATGGAGTAGGAGTAAGTATCCTTTGGAAGCAGGAGTGGCATCCACTTCCTAAACAGCATGCCTCTTGAAACACTATGAACTTTGATACATGTCAATAGTTGTAGAGGGGCTTTAGGACTTGTATTTATAGGGTCACTATGAGTTGTGCTCGACTCAAAGGCAATCAACACCATCACCAAATATTCTTATCAATGTTCTCATAAGTTTCTGTAATTTTTTAATAACAGTAGGTTTATTTATATATGTTAAGTAGTATCATTTATAAGTTAAGTGTTTACAGAGAGAAACTATTACACATTTTAAGAAACTAAATTAATAATTACTTCTGGCCTATAAGGTAGGGAGTTATATTTCTAACTCAATGGCAGTCTTTCTCTAGCAGTTGAAAACCACCAGTGGTTCAGAGGAAGTAAGACAGGCAGTCTCTTTTGATGTAATTTACTGCTTCTGAAAACCTACTGGATCATCAGCTTATTGTTGGTTCCAACACTACAGTAATGAGTGAATGACTGAGTGAGGTTTAGAATTGCATCTCTAATGTTCAAGGGAGAAAGATGGACAATCTCCTCTCCTGTGATTTACAGTCTCTTAAAATCTGCTGGAGGGTAAGCTATGACTTGGTTCCTATTGGAGGGTACATAACAACAACTTCTGATATTAGCAAATATATCACATTACATAATACATATAATGAGTTTATAAACTCAGCCCATTGCTGACTGTTACCAAACCTAATGCATTAGTAACTAAAGCTTAAATTCTTTATTAGAAATCTCAAAAGCACCGAAGCACAGTTTTTTACATATAACAGTTAGTGAAATGTTAAAACAGTAGGCTTTTATGTACTGGAGAAAAACCAATTTCTATAAGTAAAAAAATGCTAAAGTGAAAAAAACAACCCAGTTTATATAAAATAATAAAATTCAGAACTCAAAAATATCAAGAACAAGTCCGCTTTCTATCATCTTCTCAGCTTTTAAGACAAATATATTTCACAAAAGGCATTGAAAGTGGACTAGGGAAGAGCAGAGAGAGGGGGACAGAAAAAAATGCACAAGAATTAATTAATAAAAATTTAAAAAATCTTTAAGAATTGTCCTATGCCAAATATGGGAACGGAAGGAGAGGGAAGTAAAAAAAAAAAACCCAAATAGATAAGTTGAATGAAGAGAAAGGCAATAATAAGAGGCTGAACAGACATTAAAATGAATTACTTAAGTTTATAAAATAATATCATTCAAATATAATTAAATACAATTTGTATTAATGATCATATAAAA